ATGCTGCCTTCTTCCTGATCTATATATTGCAAGGTAGTATTTTGTTTTTTGTAATACTTCTCCTGTACAGATAAGACTTAATAATTTTCCTATAAATCATATTTTGCTAATGCTGCTCTATTACAGATGTATCCTTTATAGGAGAAAAGAATAAACTGTATTTATTAAAAGAGCACAATTTTATTTCTCTTTACCTGATAAACTGTCAGTATTCAACAAAACTCACACTTTAAATAGTGGATTGATCTGGTCCATGGTTTTAGTTCTTGGCATTTATGTTTGACATTTTTGTGGTGCAGTCACATAGGGGAAAATAGCATGTCAGACTTCAGTAATTTTACTTGAAGATGAAATAAAAAAAAATTTAGAATATGTAACTGAACACATTTGTATGTTTTTGTTTACTGCACGACTCTAAAGATTGACATGTAATAAAAATGAGTTGTAATTATAGAAACTGCCACATGAGATTTATTTTTGGTTTAGTTCCATGATGAGCTGCTGAAGTTGGTATGCTATTTCTTTGCTCTTGATTGACCCTGATTTAAAGAAAAAGCAAAAAGAAACAAAAACCCTAAAAAAAAAAACCCAATCCAAAACAAAAAAATGCACAACAAAATACCCACAAAAACCCCCAAACAAACCAAAAAGCAAACAGTCCCCTGCTCAAAACACAAAAAGTGTCACTGAAATGAATTTGTCTTTTTGCTTGTATTTAACAGACATCTGAAACCCAAACCCAGGCTTTTCCTTATATGCGTGAATCTTTGATGGATTTTTGCTCTTATGTAGATTACAGATGTATGATGTTCTATCAAAGTGATTTGTGATTTTAAACTTTATGTACAGATATTAGACTGATGTTTTCATAGCAAATTTGTAATTTCAGAACATAGGAGGGAAAACTAGAGTGTACGATCAGCCAGAGAATTTAACTCCCAACAGTTAACTACAACCATGGCTACGCAGTAGTTCAGATATTGTCAGTTAGGTGTATTCCATTTGTTTCTGTATTTTTCTGGAGTTAAATTTGATCTCCACTGCCCTCTTCCTAAAAGTTGGTCTTGGTGGGGTCTTAGGCTAGGACTAATATTAGTCGTATTGACTGCCAGTTACAATGCTTAAGAGAATAGATAACAAACAACTTTCTCTACTGAATAATTTAAAACTTAATAGAACGTGCTCTGTTGTTAGAGCCAAAGCCAGTTGTCAAGGATGGGCAGTGTTGGTAATGACTATTTTGGTTGCCCTGTCATAGGATCTGAATCTGTTAGCTCCATCATCTGACTGCTAGGTAACTGCTGGCAATTTAATTAAGTGCTTTAGTTTTGTTTCTTTAGAAACATCAATTACTGAAAGGAAGGCTGTATTTAATTTTAGTGAATAATGCACTTGCAAGGACTCTGGTAAGTAGTACAGGGTGTTTATACATCAGTTAACTTCATAGAGTAAGTTTGGTTGTTGTTGTGGTTTTAATCCCAGCTGGCAGCTCAGTCCCACCTAGCCACTCGCTCCCCCACTGGGATCAGGGAGAGAACTGGAAGGGTAAAAGTGAGAAAACTCGTGGGTTGAGATAAAGACAGTTCAATAGGTAAAGCAAAAGCTCTGTGCACAAGCAAAGCAAAATAAGGAGTTCATTCGCTACTTCCCATGGGCAGACAGGTGTTGGTTGAGCCATCCCCAGGAAAGCAGGGCTCCACATGCAATGGTTACTTGGGAACACAAATGCCATCACTCCGAAAGTCCCCCTTTTCTCCTTTTTCCCCCAGGTTTTAGTGCTGAGCACGATGTCATATGATATGGGATATCCCTCTGATCAGCTGTCCTGGCTGTGCCCCCTCCCAACTTGTTGGGACGGTGAGGTGATGTGGGAAACAGAAAAGGCCTTGATGCTGTGCGAGGACTGCTCAGCAATAATGAAAACATTCCTGTATATCAGCACAGTTTGCAGCACAAATCCAAAACACAACCCCATACTAGCTACTATGGAGAAAATTAACTCTCTCCCAGCATAAACTAGTACAGTTGTATAACAGTATTTCACAGGAACGCTGTCTCAGCAGTTTTTGGTTGTCTCCCTCCAGCAGGCAGGAAAGTCAGTGGTGTGAATGCACAGCATGGAAGAATGGAACTGGCAAAATCAGGAGAAGAATGGCTTTAAATGACTGTGCTGTAGTAAAAAAGAGCGGGATATATGCAGTTGTTTGGCAGGGAGGAATAGCAGATGATTTCAGTTAGAGAAAACACTTAAAATGGATTTGGGTCATTTTTGGGTACATCTGCATGACTGATTGTATTGCATAGATCTTCAGATCCAAAACTTCTTCATTATCAACACTTGGAGTGTACCACTTGCACGTTTCTGATCTATGTAGCAGAAAGCTCAAATTCTGAGATTTATTGAACAGTTTGTCTGTTAGCCTAGATCAGTGGGAGCTGGCTGTGGTGAACATCAGCATGCCTCTTGGCTGCAGTCAAGTAACTTGGACTCTTTAGTCCTTATAGGCAAGCACTAGTCTGTTATCTACTGAGTATGCTGCGCAGCATCTCTTGCAGAGCCCTCAGCCAGGTGTAGTCTGATGTGCTTTTAAAGAGAACAGGTACATCTGCAAGCTGTAGGCAACAGTTACATAGTTTAAATTAGAAAAAAAAATTGGAAAGGCAGACAGTGACTCATGGTTGTCAGATTTATGATAGAAAAGTAGATAATAATAATAATATGTAATTATAAGTAGCTGTTTGAAGCTTATTAAAACTTTTTAAAATACTCAAGCAATACGTATTTTCTGCAGAGCTTATAAAATCATGCTATTGTGAACTAGAAGAAATCACTGGCTTAATGTTTTGAACAAATGCTTATATGAAGTGTTAAACTAGCTTTTGACAGCACAAGTCCTTTTTGGATGGAGAGAAAATATTTTCAGCTGATTCACTTTGATTCAGTTTCTTATCTATTTTTTAAGTTGAGAAAAAATTAATGGGTAGCAGTTTAAAACTGGAAGGTTTGCTCTCACCTTTCCAGTTTGAGGAAAAAATAAGGTATGGAAGGCAGAGGTCTTTTTCCTGTTTTAAATTCTTTAGATTTTGGAGCTAATTAATTAACTTTTTAGGCAGTACTTCCTAGGAAGTTTTAAATACAAAATGTTTTGTATCTTAAGCATTCATCAATTAACTAAATTGATTTTAGATTTCTGCTTTCTTCTTTTTAATTGAATTTCTCTTGCTATTCTGAAACAATTCACTACAGATTGTAAGTACTTGCTTACATCTTACTGGAAATAGAACATGCAGGGTGACATCAGAAATTAAGAAGCTGAAATAAAAGCTTATCAGTATGTGAGTAGTATACTTCAGCTAGGAAAACTTAATGGAAGGAGTTGCAAGGCAGTGTATTTTAATGAAAAAATAAGAAATGCCCTGTTTTCCTAATTATGTTACAAATATAATACCTAAGTTTAAATGAAAGCTTGTTGAGTTTAAATGAATATTTGCTGATTTTTAAATTATAACAAAATTGGCAATATAAAACAACTTATCTTGTCTCATAGCATTCTGTTCAGTGAGGAAAAACTGCACTGATCATGCTGTACTGCAAAGCGTAATTTCATGTGAACCCCTTCTTCCTGCAGCATCCCTTTAGAAAGGCAGTCTGCCTCTCTATTTCAGAGGTTTTAAAACAAAAAAGCTAATTGATGCTCTGCCTAGACGTCTAAAATTACAAATAAATCCTCAAGTTACAAACAGATTAGCTTTGTTTTACAATGGTAAATAATACATTTCCAGCTTTCTTTAGTTTGCTACAAATTGCAGGGTCATTAAAACAAATAGCTTTGTTTTAAATCTGAAACACTACTTAGATTTGCAGTCCAGCATTGATCCTGGGCATGAATCAAACATTAGTGTTTGTGGACTAAGTGGTTTAATAGCAGTAATTATAAAATTTCAAAGAAGTGTCTCCAAAAAGCAAAATAAAATACAGATTCTTTTGTTAGAGGATTTTTTTCAGTAAATTTTAAAACTATTTTAAGAAAAAAAATACCTTTATCTTAGGAAAAACAAGAAGAGAAAGTTTAATGTGTAGTTTAAATAGAAGTCAGTGAAGTGCCCAGCCAAGGGACTTGATTTTAGTTCTGAAATGTGATATGAAAAATTTGCATTCCCCTTGCAAACAAATCACATCCTTATACTTGACGGGAACTGTGTCAGATGAGCTAAGGTGCACCATAGGCTTTATCAGACCTGTAAGCTCTCTTCCCACTCCCAGAAGATTATTCATCTTGGCCATGAAATGCCTTTAAGAGAAGGACTGAAATCCTCAATTTCATCCCCAAATACTATGAGAAGACAGAAGTTTTCCATGCGCAGCCTTTAAAACCAGTTGGTGTTTCTTAGACAAGGGTAAACTAGTTGGAATTTCCTAGACAACCTAACCTCCTTGTTTTCAGGTAATTAACTGTGGTGTCCAGCAGTGGTAGTAAAGGTATGAATAATAGAGGCTAGATCATTAGCAGGGAAGGAGATGAAGTTTCCTAATCAAATGGAGATTATAGCGTTCTTTGTTTTCTAGTTTCTTAAATTATACCTGTGAGATAATTGCTTGACTGTTATTTTATTTTTATATGCTTTTTTTGGTAATTTGTTTCTTACATGTACGCTAGGTTTTTCTTTTGCTCCCTACATTGTTATAATTTCCTGGACTTTTTTCCTCCTGTTAATAATCTTTAAGTTGCTCCTTATCTTACAGTTCGTAGGAGTTCCTACCACTGACCTGACTTCAGTTCTTGTCCAGAGCCAAACAGGCTTTTGGTAGAGTCTTAATTTCTATAAGTAATTAATTGGAAAAAGCTAATTTGCATTTTCTACTCCAGATCAGTACTTCTCCTTTTTTCTTTCAAGTTCCAATCTACTAACTTGTTACAGTTGCTGGGGTTCTTTTTCCCCCCACAGGAAATATAATGCTGTCAGTGTCTTAAATTTAAAATTATTTGTTTCTTTTACAGACTGAGACAACTATAGGCCTCAGTTCTTACCAACAGAAAAGGTAAGCATGACTTTCTAAAAGTTTAATAAAGCCATCCTATTGTGAGATTTGTGCTATTCTTCATAAGAATAATAAAGTTTTACTGTAAACAAGATTAAATACAAATTGTGTAATTTTTCAATTATTTGTCTCGTACAGAGGAAATTTAAACTCAAACATAAAACAATTTTTAATATTGGACAGCTAAATCACTTCATGTATGAAATAAGAAATGGAATTCTTTAATTCACTTTGTAGTGTATACCACAGAGTAATTCTGTGTAAACAAAGAGGGGGTAAACTGAGACTCTGCTTGTAGATTTTTTTTTTTTTTAATAATTTTACTGAAGTTTTGTTGAGAAAGGAATGGGTTTGTTTACCTGCTTGTGTCCTTTTGAAGAAAAACTTTATCATGTTATTCTCAATAGATTCTTCCCTGTCCATATGTCCCGTCGTCCTGTCCCATCCTGTCCCCAAAGAAGTAATTTATTACCAAAGGACTTTGTATGTGTAGTATCTGAGGAGGAAAAGAAGTGGCCTCTGTTTTTTTTTTTTCCTCTGGTCCCTGTTTTTTCTCTGGAGATTCCTCAAATATTCCTGTGTATTTAATGAGTACATTGAACAGTAATAATTAAGCTTGTTTCTTATACCATAGCATTCAACAAACTGTCATGTAAAGCATAGTTTATGATGGGTAAATACAGATAGATTTTTTTCATGGACTGTTTCCATTTCCTTCTCAGGAAATTTAGTATAAGGATTATTTTTTTATTTCAGATAAACATATGAAAAGTTCTTGTTTTACTATGCATATAATTGCTTCAACTTGGGCTTAAGAGCATTATGTTTGCAACAAGTTTTGAAAAAATCTTTGAAAAAAAGCAGTGTTTTTCGTGTTACACTTAAAAGCCGTGATCCTATTTGTATCACTTGCCATCAGTCTCTGCTGCCTTCTGATTAGATACAGACCTAAATCTTGCAACGTAAATCTCCTGAATTGTATGAAAATACTGTAGACTTTGGCTTAACTACTACTAGGTTTCTAAATACACTTGGAATTCAGGGTTTCAGGGGGAAAGAGTGAACATGAACGTACTGAAGAACCTTGTGAGGATGTGGCAGGTCCTTCACTCCAGGTGAAATTAAAACATAAATTCACATTATCTTTATTGTGATAATGTAAAAGAGAAGAGTTAATACTATGTGTTGAAACAAGGCAGTTGCTTTATATTTTGACCTGAAGCTTGAGGCAATTTGTGTATTATGGTAATGTGAATTTTGTCAAACTTGTATTACACAAACTTCTCATTTGCTTTTTAATTAAAAAAGTTGAGCTTAGTCATTCTGCATAAAACTTGAAACTTTGTGATGCTGTACCTTCCCTGAATCTGTCTTCTTTCCCCTTCCCCAGCAATGGAGGCTTCTCTCTGCCCTTCAGGACTTCTGCCCATTTATTTCTCATCTATGAAGTCTCTCAAATTAAACTTTGCCCCTGATGCTTTTACTAAACTATGTTTTCTACTTGCCTGTTAAGAGTGGATTAAGCAAGTAGAATATGCATTTCACTAAACTGCTCCTATAAATACTCACTTCCAAAGATTTATTCAGTACTGGTTTCTCTGTTAACCACTTACACTACATATACACCTCTGGGTTTGTAACTGTACTGTAATAGGAGAAAGAATTACCACCTGTGAAGTTACCATGCATTAAGACTTACTTGAATTTAACTTTCCTGATTGTTGTAAACATACAAATTGTAACATTTTGGTCATGATAAAATAAAAATAGTTTTTTAAAGATCAAATTAAAATTATGCACTTTAAATAATTTGTTTACTAGGGGGTTTCCTCATTTTGCTATCTTAAACTGCTTGTGTGAAGCCCTGTGCTCGTTGCTATGTAGTGGACTCAGACTTTGCACAACAGTGAAAGAATCTCTTAAAATTTGTTATTGAACTTCTCATGTTCAAAGACAAATAAGACGATCCTTAATGCTTCCGGAAGAACATGATCAATTCAAATAGGTTATGGAGCAGTATAACTAATACTAACTTCCAAAACTTCCATTTCTGTAAGCCAAGTAACTTATGCTAAGTGATCATTGTGTTCTTCCCTGTCATGGTTTGTAATATTAAATCAACTGGACTCTGGTCATTCATAACTCTCAAACAACACGAGTGGTTTAAGAAGCTAGGAAGTACCCCAGTTGTTATTTACCTGTCCTTCCTGCCAGGGCTCTCTCTCTGGTGACAGAGGAAGTGAACATTTGTGCTTGTGGCTCAGCTGCTGCAGTTCATGGTCCAGTGACTTATTTAACCCTGCCAGCAATGATGGGTTTGTACATAGATTGTGAACTGGAGCTGTTGTGCTGTGGGTATTTGTTGCATTCTTCCACGAGCTGTTAGGGGATTGCAAAATGGTGGGGGACACAGCTGCGGACAAGAACTTAAAACAGCTGTAGCTATATGCTGCAGGATGTCAGGCAGATTGCAACTATGAAAACATTAATTTAGGAATCGCAGTTTAACTCTGAGAACCATGATTAGTGTATTTTATATCTTGGGTAGAGTCAGACTTTATGGAGGTAGTTTAAATGGAATAGTATCTTGTTTAAATCATTGACTCTCAATGGCAGAAAGGAGGTGCCTTTATTGGGACCTAGAGATTATGAGCAATTTTTTTTGTCTCCGTCCCCCGTCCCCCCTTACTGGTTTTACATGGATCTTTCTTTCAAGTATTTTTCTCGGTGATTTTTTTTCAGTGGCGTTGCTAAAAACTCTAGGTTTCTGATCCACATGCTTCACTTCTCTAGATGACTTGTCTTTCATTGTACTTACTAGAGATTCTGATATCTCCTGCTTGGTATAGCTTGCAGGTATTTCTGCCCTATCTAGACAGTTTATTCAGTTCTTTGATCTGCTTTTTAACACTAATTGGGAGGAGGGAAATGAACTAGCCATTTAATTTGTTTTGTTCTTGCCCATGGTCAGGTTACAGTTCAAGTTTCTCCCTGTTCTTTCCCCACCCTTTCCCCAGACAACCCCCTCAGGAAATGTTAGCTTTGAAGTTTAACATCTGATATCATGAGTATGTTTTCCTGATACAGGGTTAATGTTGGCATAACTGAGCCAACCACTAGCTGGGTGTAGTTTGTGAAAAACTTTTGTTGCTAGTCTTTTTATTCATCTGCACTTACAGCAGTGGCTACTGCCAGATACCAAAATGGCCAAATGTTCTGTGGGAGTTCACTTTCTCACTGGGGCTGTGTTTAATACCCATATTTCTAAAACAATTTTAACTATAAAAATTGAAATACATTTTCTGATATATGCAGCTCAACCTTATTTTTAGATATTGACAATTCATGGATGCACTCAGGGAAATATGACTAGTTACTTATTTTTTAGCCAAAAATGGTCTGTCTTTGAGGTGGCTCTTTCAAGGACATTCTGGTACAAAAAGTACCCACTGTGAGGTATTTGCCTATTTGTCATTTAAAAAATTCACGTGGTTATTTTTGGACACACGTTCATTTTATTTGTGGTAATAGAAATAACAAAGTAGTGGCTTTCTAAGAGTTTGTGTTGCTAAATAAAATAATGAGATCTCTTGCTATTTGACAGTTTAATGCCGTCGTCTATTTCTTGACAATTTATGGTACAGGAGAGGAAATGAAACTCTTTAAACAACTGGTAAAGTAATGTGGGAAAAATAGATGTAGAGTAATGCTTAGATTTGAATTTTCCACAGTAGCAATTAAAGATGGTACAGATAAGACTCCACAGAGCACATACCTCCTCCAGAAATCCTAGAATCAGCTAGAAAGGTAAAGTGAGGATAAAGAGTAACAGTTACTACCCAACTTTGCAGAAATCTTTAAACACTATATTTGACAAGCATTTTCTTCATCTCCAAATGCAAAGATGTGCATTTATTTATTTATTTAAAATTATGAGTGCCTAGTACTCTGTAATAAATGGCAAAATATTATAGAATTGCTGCAGAGTATCCTCAGAAGAAAATTGTGTCTCAGCACAGATGGATATCCATGTCACCTACAGTCTTTCCAGGCATTGATATTTTGACCATCTTTATAACTGTATCTGGACTAACCTTACTTGAGACATGAAGTTGCACTTCAGTGAATTGCATCTGGTTGTAGGTAGTTTCTGGGTAGTAGCACTACAGTAGTTATTTTAGTAGTTGAGGTAAATGCCCTCTCACTTGGATGACAGAGTAGGTGGTCCGGCGAGGATAATGATTGTATCAGGGAATGTGTGTAGTTCACTCTTGAGTCTCATTTTTAAAATCAAAATTCTTGAAGAACAGGAAGAAGTGTTGGGACCATCTTAAATCATTTTCAGGAACTAGTAATTCCTGAAACTACTTAGGTTCAGATGGCTCCTGGCCAATTCTTGGTCTGCTGGAGCTTGTTGGCAGATGTCCTCTCTCATTCAGCTTCATCTTTTCCTTTTTGTGTTGTTCTTCTTGACTTTGAAGGTTAGGAAACTTGGAGGGGTAGGGAGAGAAAAATGTTTAAATTCTGATATAAGACTAGGAGCCATAGCTCTACACATGTAGAATAGTAATTAAGTTAAATGTCATTATGCTGTAAAGTTGCCCTACCCATGGGTGTATCCAGCCTTCAGTAGGCAAGTGCCCAGCAAAGCAGACATTATAATGATTTTGTAAGTCTGCTGCAAGTTGACTCATGTTGGGCCTTTCAGTAGGCAAAGTTTGGGAATTCCAATATTGCTTGTTCCCATTTGAATCGTATTACAGTTGTTACTTTTATTATAATAGTTGGCATTCATTATGATGTAGCTGCCTGTACCAAACTTTAGCCATTTAAAGACTGTGCTGTGTAAATGGCTATCCAGGATAATATAGCTATATAGTCTGAGAAAATGTTGCTTAAACTTCTCATGTATATGGAGAATCATGTATGTCCTGATTGTTCAAGTTAGGTCAAGTTACTCTTGACTGCATTTTCAATGCATTTGAAATAAAGATCTTCATTATAGCTTCTGTAAATATTTATGAAAACTTTTGTATAAAAGGAATTGATATGTCCTTTTACTAATAATTACCAACAAAAAAGAGGTGCTGGCTGACTGCTCAAAGTTTTAAAGTTGGAAAAAATTGACAGAACTATTTTAAAAATCATTATTGAAGAAGAGCAGTTTCTGTTTAGTGTTATCTTGACAATGGAGGTACATGAGCTTTTTGTCCTTTTCAGGATAAAAATGCACTAAATGTGTTTTGTTTTGTTTTTTTTTAAATTGGACCATCAACTTATTTTATCCTTTCAAAATATCACTGTTAGTATAATTTTCCAACTTTATTCTTTTATGTCTAGTGTCTCTCTAAACTTCATTTTGTTGAGCACTTATTCCACAAGGCTTGATTTTAGCCTGAGAAGGTATACCCAAGCTCTCTCATTTGACAACTGTAATGAGTCAGAGCAGTACTTAATAGTAGCAAGAATTGTAATGTACTGTAGATCTTTATACAGTTCTTCCTATTAGTGTCTTACCTTTACTTCTATTGTTTTGTGATGCATATGTGTGTGTATATATACATGCATTGAGTGCAAACTAAAGCTGACTGTACTATGCCTACTGTTGCCCCAATAATGTTTTACTTTCATTATGTGGATAAAGCTATTTTTAACGACTAGGCTTTAAGTAGTATTGAAGATGCTTTGACATCCAAACTTAGAGAGCTGTAAATCGATCAACATGAATAGATTTCTCTATTAGACATATATTATACTTGAAGTGTGAAGATTCAGTTGTAGAGTACTAGAGTGAGTGATTGAGATGTATTTTTATAAAAAAAGCTGTTGATTTGTTATACTGTTGTCATTGCCTAAATCTGTGCTGTTAGAGAATACAGTTATGATTTCATACCCTATTTGTAAATTATTACTCCTGTAAAGAGCTTCTTTGTTGAAATGGTTCAGGAATGTGGTAAGATACCTGAGTTTGATCAATAATTAGTTTCCCTGGAAGTACTGAGTTCAAGGCCTCAGCTCTCATAAGGTGAGCCACATGGACCTGTCTGAGGACATCTTCCATCTCCTGGGTTCTTCCTCTCTTGAGGCATAACTGGGTGCTTCTGCTGCCCTGGCTGGGTTTGTAGAGCAGCTCTGTGTCTTTGGGCATCTAGGATTGTTTTATGCAAAGTCAGAAAACAAAGATCTAAAACAGGAGTGCTATTTTAATATCAGTAACAAAAGCATTTAAATTAAAACCATTGGTCTTGAGCCATTCTTTAGCCTTTCCTGTTTATTTCTTTTACGTTATTGTTCCCCTGTTTTATGTTTTACTGTATAAATATGATTTTTACTGAGCCCAAAATAAAGTGTTAGTGAATTACAGAGTTACTTCAGTGTGGTCACAATCACATCATTCTGAATAAGAAAATGTTTCAGTCAATGCAACTTTTTTTTTTCTTTGTAACTTATATTGTGGATTGTTGATTGTGCTCTATATAACTGTACTGGTAAAATAAGCAATAGTAGAGAATGTTTCCAGATACTTTGTGATCTTCATTGCTGGATTGGTTGAGTGGTATTTAGGTTTTAGTCTTCATCTACCAGCATTCTCCTGAAGAGTTCCCAGTGGGACGTTAGTATAGGCAAAGCTAAGGAATGTTTCTAGAGCAGAGTCATTGTCTTCTGGAGATTATGAGCCTTTAACAGTATAGACACGGACTGTTTTCTCCCATGTGGCCTCAATACCATCAAATGGGTCTGAGATTGTTTATGTACTAGTGTAGTTGTAGTTAGAGAAACTCATGATGTGTATGTAAATGACTGTTAGACCTTGAGGAAGGTGTTTGGATATTGCTATGAAAGATAATACCTGTTTAGCTCACTATTTCACTTAGCCATCATTATATAGAGGGAAACTAATACTTCAATTATATTCATTTCCAAGATTTATACTCTTGCATAATCTTTCTTGGAGACACCACATAATCATGTAAGCGGCTGGTAAAATTACGGTATTCTGACTGGACTAGTTTGTCAGACTGTTTCTTCTTTGGAATTAGTTGCTCTATTATTAATATTAATGAACATTTTGCTAAGAAAGGGCAATTTGAGATGGGAAGGAAGCAAAAATATATCATTTAACAGTATCTTTTACAGCATTTTAATTTTTCTTGCAGTGTATCCCTATATCGGGGAAATTGCCGACCTCTCCGGTTTGAGCCACCAATGCTGGATTTCCATGAACAGTAAGTTGAAAAGTCTTCTCATCTGTTTAGTTAGACAAATAGAAAAAAACATCTCAAGAGCATTTAAAACTGATGGAGGAGGTTGTATACATAAATTAAATTGATAGATTGCCCATAAGTGTAGCTGACCTATGTGTGGCAGAGAGCTGGTGTACTCAGTCTTAAATACCATGTAGCGACCTGTCAGCAGCCATGGTTTTGGTAGTGTAGGTACTTGACTTACTTTTTAAGTACTTGTACAACTTCTCTGCACAGTGGAAACAGTTCTAAGTCTAGAACTTAATGTACTGAGGTGAGGTTACCTTTCTGCTTGTACATAACCCATGTCAGAGAGCATCTACTCTAGTGTGTCCATTTTACAAATGCTTTGGTGGCAAAAAAACTTTGTCGGTACATCAGTAGATGTAGAGAACAGTAGTTCTCTATTAGAACAGTAGTGTGGAGTTGTGAAAATACAGCTTCAAGGACAACAAACAGCCTCCAGGAACTTAGCTCCATGCTCCACCCTGCAGCTGCTGTTTCGATTCTCAGTGACTGAAGGTAATGGTTTACAGCAGACTTACCTGTGGCTTCTCTAAAAGACAAAAGAAGGGGAGGAGGAAGGACACTTAATTTCAACAATGTACCTGTTTGTAACAGGTTCTTCTGAGAACGACTTCAGTCTTTAGTTTCTCTTACCAGTAACTGGTTACTGTGTATAGGTAGCTACAATCATTCTTCTTATTAACAGTCAAGATCCGTTCTGGAGTTGGTGTACATGGATGCTGCCTCTGTGCATGATTGATGCTTTGACACAGTGTAAACTGCAGTGAGGGCATTTCAAACATTTTGTTAACAGTTCAGCCTGGAAGGAGGAGAACGGCCCAGGTGTGCCTTAGCATGGTATTGCTTCTCCCACCCTCAGGCAGCACTGCTGATCGATGAAAGGCTGCTTTATTTATAGATAAACCACAGATTATTAATAAAAAATATAGTACCCCTGGTCTGTAGGAAAGACCATTGTACAGTGTGGTGACTACAGAGATGTGCAAGGAAGCTTCAGTATATTGGCATGGTGTATACTTCTGTTTCTGAAAGAAGAGAGGATTTAACTGTGTATTGTTTGCACAGAGTAGTTTTCCAGAAATAATCTTTATACAAAAATCCCAAACATAATGCCACTAAATAGCAAAACTATATGAAAACGCCTCATTTTATGAAATTTATTTGTGCTCAGTCTAACAAAATTGTAACTTTTACTTCTGAGTAAAGACATAGTAAATCACTCTGTCCCTTATTCCTTCAAAATTTCAGAATCTCTAGCTTTTGATGTTGTGTGTTTTTGTTGTTTGGTTTTTTTTTTTGTAATAATGAATGTAATAATGTAATGATGAATTTACCTGTTGTAGTTTAGGTCATAATCTCAGGCAGAAATTGTCTTTTGATTTATTAAAACTTCAGTAAAATGTCAAAAACAGTTTTAGAAAAGGTTTAGATATGAACCCCTAAAGTTCAGTTTCAAATCTGTACTTAGGCATTTAAAGAGAATCAACTCCGAGAAATGCTGAGTAACTCAACCTTATGGTGGGAACAAAACTGCATGTGCCAAGCACCTTGGAAGTCAAATAATGCAGATTTAAGCTTTTAGCTTGTTTGCATTTCAAAGAGACAGGGTTTTCACATTCAAATTCTGACCTTTCTTTCTTTGATAATAATGGATTTTAGGAAAGGCATAAAATGCATATTTAGTTTCTGAACAAGTATTGTACCTAAACAGTGTTTTGTTAATAGGTAGCATGTAGCATTTAGTAGAGCAAGCTTGTTCAAAGTTCGTATTTATACTGAGCTATCATCATGTATCATTCCTAGGCTAAAGAAAGTTGCAATATTTAATTTCAGTTGCAAGCTAACCTGTTCTTCCTGTGAAATTTTTGGTCTGCCAAGAGTGTTTGGCTTTAATCAGGTGTTTCAAAAACATTCCAACTTAAGCAGGAATAATATTTATTAAAAGTTATTTTATCTAGGGATCTCACAAAATCAAAATCAGTATTAAGTTGATAAATGGGTGCTGTAGACACACTTCCTGTGTCCTACATGGAGATGAGATTACAATGGCCTTACACTTCTGATTTATAACAGTTCGGGCTTTTTTTTAATGCTGCTTTAATATAAAATAAACAATACCATATCCTACCACTTTGAACGCAGTCCAGGTAATCTCACATTTATCAAAGGACATATATGCTGTATGTTAGCATATGCAAATCTTTAGCTCACTTGAAGAGATCCCAAAAGTTCTCCGTATACATTAAGCCTCTGGGAGTGGGGTGGAACTGAGGCAGGTTCTTCCGTATCACTGCTCCAGGAAACTGCTTGGACTAAGTGGAACACTCATTTGGTTATTTAATGTGAAAGCCGCCTCCTTGTTGTTTCTGAAGCAATACCAGTCTTCCTCTGGAACCAATTCTGCAGCATGTTGGATATTGGAGATTCAGGGTTTTAAAGAAAACAAACAAGAAAAAAAACCTCCACCTGCAACCAACTCCACAACTAGTGACCTTTATTCTTAGCTGCTTTCTGTTCCTTGTACTCTCTCTTAATCTGTTACTCTCCCCTGTTGTAATGGGAATGAAATAATTCAGATGTTCTAAGGTGCAAGCACTAACCATTATGTCGTCTTCCATAGCTTTGGGAGTTGGTTGCTCAGAGGCTATTTTGGCAGAACAGGCATTACCTATATGGCTGGCTTTGAGACGTTTCTTCATATTAAAGCTCTTGCAGGTGGCCCATCTGGGTGAAGACTGAAGAATACTGTTGTGAGGCAGTTTATATTCAGTTCTTGCACCTGGTTTGTGGGGGAACTTGAATCTTCATAGATCTTGATACATTGCCGTCATCTGTGTTAATTCAACTCTGACTATATCAAAAGTAAAGTTTGTAAGTTCTTCACAATTAAATTTTTGGTAGAAGTAACATTTGGTAACAGAGCATTTGCGTACAGAGTATTTTAGGAAAGTAACACAATGTAAGCTAGAACTAGTTACCATCAAAATTTTAAAATGTGGGATTATTTTAAAGATGAAGTTGATATCTTGCCTCTGCCTCATGGAAGTGATTGGTAACGTACGAAATGATACTTTTAGCAAAAGTAGTAGTTTAATCCTTCATCAACATGTGCTTCTGTGGTGAATGGAGGTTCTTGCTTGAGTAGATTTGAGCAAAGTCCCATTCCCTAGACAGAGTTTTCTTGTTGGTAGGACAGTATTCTGAAAATCTATCTTTTGGTTTTCTGTTGATAAACGATCTTGCTTTGCATTTCCCTTGAAATGTTTTCCTTAGGGGTTTTTTTTTTTAGTGTTTTCATGTTTCTTGTTTCTGAGCTCTGGTATTTGGCAGGATATTCTGTGAAAGCTTAAGCTGGCCTTGAAAGCAATTGCTTGGTAATGTTGAAATATTTGAGAGCACCTTGCAGGTCTTGAGACCTTATGTTACTTGCAAGAACAGAAGAGGATGGGAAGTTTACCAAATTGGTCTATTTTCTTCAAGAACTCTAATATTTTAACAGTAAATAATGGAGAATTTTAGCAACTAGAGAGTTTATCCAAATCGCTAGTTTTCTTATATTTTAAACAAGTACAAATGGTGAAAGGACCTATAAGGTACCTATAATGTGCAGCCAAATGTTTACACAGTACATTTGATACACTTTTAATGTGTGAGTGTTTGAGATGGTTGGAATTTTGAAAAAAAGTTGCAAAATGAAATTTTGATTTCCCTTGGAGTTTAAGTATAAGAAAATATTGAGAGTAAATTGACATTTAGTCCAGATCGACCTCTGTTTGTGTATCATACTAGGCTGCAAAATGCTAATAAAGCAAAATAGTTTATTACAGTCTTAGCTTCATTGAAATCGCAGTTGGTGACACGATTGTATAAGACTACGACTGATGTTTTGTATATGGGGTTTTGCTAATTGTTTGGAAAAGGTATGATTTGTTGTATGGGGTCTAAGTTAGATTCCTAACATAAAATGGGGTGTTTGCTCCATTTATGTTACATGTTTTTGTCAAGTGTAATATAAAAGTTCTTGGTTTGTTAAAAGCCAGTGAAATCTGGAAGCTAAGAAACAATTGGTCTATAGGCTAATGCATATAGAAAAAATATTCTTTTGCTTTTCCAAGTTAATGAGACACATTTGCATTCTCAAACTTAGGTGCTTCAGTTACTTCAACTTTGGTTAAATAAGCAACTTGCCTGTGTCGTTCAACCTGTGATACATACAGTTTCATGTGAAGCAGGAAGAATGCTCTAGTCACTAATTCTCTAGTCTTGTACATCATGCAGGCTGCCTTCACATAAGGAACGAGCATGTTCTTCACAATGGGGTAAAAAAGGCATTCCCTTTCAGTCTCTAGAGGTAACCTTGTACAACCAGCTCGCTTCATTTCATTAAAAGTAGCTGGATACATTACAAGTCAACACCCAAGTTCTTATTGTTGGAGCTCACTATCTCTGACCTTCTGACTGGAGAACCATCTGCATTGGTTCAGGAAGTTCCCAGCCTGCATATATTTAGAGGCTAGGAGGGTTTTCTGGGTACCTGGCTTTGTATGCTTTCCACGTTATTACACTTTCGCTTTCTAGGCATCTGCTATTCACTTCTTTCTGACTCAGGATACTGATTTAGCCCACGTGAAACTTCTGATATGCTGTGTGACAACTGGTCTTACAATTGTTTCAGCAGTTGCCAAAGATGCTAAAAGAAAAAAATACTTCAGGGGAAACATACTTGTTAAACTCTCAAATTAATAAGGAATTTACCTGAATTAAATCTTGAGTATATTTACCTATATTCCCAGCATTCCAAAATCTAAGTGGGAAGGTTTTGGTTGACTTCCAGTCTCATTAGAAAGAATAGGAGATGGAAGAGGAAGAATGTATCTGCTGAATTTATATCCTTTGCTTTTCAGTAATGGATTTGTGTCAGTTTTTGTAAATCAAGCAAGCATTTTATAGAGGTGTCTAAACTATATGCAGTAAGAAAAAATGTAGTTACTCTTTTTAAAAGAGCATTTCCTCAATCCATATTTGTTTCACAGGGAGTAGCTAGGTATGTTTGCAAGTTAAGTTTGAGCCAATCACTCAAGGACTCATCTCCCCAATTTTTTGCAGGAGCTGGTTTCGTTTGTTAAGAGAATCTACCTCTTGACCTCTAGAGCAGCAATGAATTCCATTACAAAGATATGTGTACAATACACTGCAGATACTAACTCAGACTTTGGAAAGAACTGAGTTGCAGCAGTAAAGTATGTGAACACAGGCTTCTTTACCCCTTTGAGCAGGCACTCACCCCTGTTAATTGCCATCTACTCAGCTAGGTTGTGGTATCTGTTTTATATCAGTGTAGGTGGACCTAGCATTATGCAGAGACAAAAGATTATGAGCAAAAGTCTTACGTGCTTTGAGAGGTCATGTTTGCCTGAAGGTGTGTGTCTGTACCAGCTTCTTGCAATGAAAAGTGCTTGCTGTGTCTGCTCCAGGAAATTCTGTTGTAAAATTTAGCACCAGGTAAGACTGTACTTGTGCAGATCATTGTGGCTTCATAATTCACAGCCTGGAGAGCACCCCTTCTGTGATTATTGCTTGGCATGTAGGTCCATTAAATGTGTCTGGTGCACGCTGTTTTGCCTGGCTTTTAGATAGCAGAAGAAACAAGTGAGGTTTCTATTTCTGTAGATTGGCTAACATCGAGCTTCAAGAATATAAGGAAAGCTGTGTCTGAGTAAAACATAATATTGGACTCATTGTTTCAAAATCAGAATGGTCAACAAAATAATAAAATAAAACATAGTCCTAGCAACAGAATTCCTTTTTAGTGACTTCTGCCTTTATCACCTATAATTATACCGTGGTGGTTTCATCTGGAATCTGAAGTTAGTGAACTGTGATGTCTGTCATGGCTGCTTCCCTACTAGTTGTTTTTATAGGCTTTAGTCTCTCAAATATACTGTCTTATGTTCCCCTCTTTTCAGAACTGGAAAAGCATGAAGCCTTAAAAGATTGTTAATATGTGAAACATTTCCTGGGATAATGAGTTTTACTTCCAAACTACCTTTCTGACAGGAACAGGCTGGCACTTCAGTCTTACCAGTTCATTCCACAGTTTTCTTGGCTTTGTGGTGTTTCACATGTTGTGCATCATAAAAAGTGTCACTTAAGTCAATGCTGATCTTAGGTTATCAGTACACAGCTGGTTCTCTGTAAAGATCACAGGTGATATGCTAGTCATGTCATTTGCTCACATGTAATACAGTGCTTACATCTACCTCATCTTCTCGTGCTTCCTGCTCTTGTGGTTGGCAGGAACTGTTCTGCTTGATTTTTGGTTTTGGCTCTTAAGCTCCTCTTGTGAAGACCTGTTGGAGTGCATTGTAATGGAGGAGGAGGATGGTTTCCCCTTCTTGGGGAGCTATGAACATGCTCTGGGGAAGAGAAGTATCCAGAAACTGCACTGTGGCAAGCAAGAGATGCATCAAGGTGCTGGCAGTATGTCTTCCACTGAGGAAAATGAGAAATGACAGTGAGAACTAGGGAACAGATAGCTGATCCTCAGGAGAGACTGAAAGAGCTTTCTTCAGTGTTGGAGGAGTTGGACTACTTTATTTCCTTTTTTGTGTGTTGATAGAATCAGAAAGTACTTGTTTAAGGCATGACCACTTTCTCTAAGCAATGAATTCACTGTGAAACTGCTGACTGTTATAAAACCTTGCTTATGCCTTTCACGGTTACCAAGCAGGTAAAATACTCAAGCCCATCTGTACTGATGTCAGTGAAGGAGTGTTTGAAGCAGTAAGTTCAGAACTCAGGGGATGCTGGGTAACTGCGTCAGCAGACATTTTCCTCGCTTGTTGTTTTGTGGGTGTTTTGTTTGGGTTCTTTTTTCTTGCTGTGGTTGGGGTAGAGATGGAGAACATTGGAGGGCTGGCGCTCATTCAGATTCCTCTGGTCTGATAAGCTTTTTCCCTAGCAAATGGAGAACAGGTGTATAGGTTTGATTCCATTGATCAGCAATGTAACAGTTACAGCAGTTAATGCAAACCACCACAGCTGATAAACCATTTCCCTTTCTAATCTCCCCATGTATACTGGCACCAGATAAGAGTACTTTTACATTATGGCTGAACCTGGATGTTAGGTTTTGTATGGCTTTTAAAAGGTGAGGAGAGAAATTGTTGTCTTAATTTCTAATTCAGTTAGAGAAGTCAAAATGAGATTTTTTTTGACAGTGAAAGAAGGATCAAGAAAAGTGTTTGCTGATGGAGACATGAAATTAAGACTTGGTAAGATGAGTGAAGAGATTTACAGTAGTAGAGTGCAGATATATTCCACTGTTGGTGATGATGCAGTTTATTGAAGGTTAATAGTTATATCTTTGAATTGCTATCAGAGTCTTTAGCATCTATCTGTTTAGCCCATGTTTCATAAGTAGGAGGTTCTGTCTGTTACCATAATCACTCTGTACATTGTGGTATAGTTTGATTACTGTCACTAAATCCTTCATTCAGTGCAACGTTTGATTTACAGCAAACTTATGTTGCTTTATCTATTGAGACACACCCACACCCAGGTTGAAATACTCTGCAACTACAATAGTGCTTATTAATTTGGCCTGTTGAAGTTAACTGAAGATGGCAGAACAACTGCCTGTTATTGGTCATCGTAGCTTCAGGTACTACAAATAGTAGTTCTTACCGATAGTTTTGTGGTCCTTGCAATGTTTGGAGCAGGTGATATGGGAGGGAGGGCTATATGGAATTCGTGTAGTGTGAAAGTTAACCATTTTGAATTCCAAAATTTAACTTGGAGCAAATTGTGATATACACGCGTTATTAGTGTTTTGGTGCTGATGCTTAACACCTGTGTGTTAAAAGGCATGAAAATAATTCTGAAAAATAAGTGGTGAAACAAAAGCATTTATTGTTATATCAGCTGTTAAGCAAAATAAAACAAGCCTAAAGCTTGTGTGGAATAATGTGTTAGCATGTCTTGTTACTGAAAAAGTGTGCTGTTTAACTGTTTGACTTCTGTGTTTCAGAATTCTTATATTTTTCCTTAAGGTTTGAATTCAAATGCAATATACAAATAAAATAGTTGTTGCTGCACATGTCTGTGTACTTAATTCTGTAGAGTATATTAGAAAATATAATACCAGAAAAAATCCGGGTTCTGGGTAAGACTACTTACGTTGTACCTGGAAAAAAAATGTGCTTAGACTTTTGTCTAGAGTGTGTTCTGTTTATTTTAAGTTGCTGTGCGCAGCCTCTCTTAAGATAATTATTTAGAGGTTCTAGCACAGGAATAGATAATTTTGCCTCTTCTGAAGTAAAAAACCTGAAAATTAGAATTTCATTTTGGATAGGTGTCATTTTAGAGGATGATACAATATTAAGTAAGCCTTCAGGAAAAGTAATCAAAATAATGGAAAAGATGTCAACTGAGTAATTCTTCAAGGTAGAATTTACAGATGTTACTTGAAAAAAACATTTAATACAACATTCTATCATTGCCAGTGTTCATCAATGCTGTGTTCCTATCTGGTGTAATGGGACAAAGCCCAATGCTCTATTTACTACAAGTCTAATGCTTTAAAAATATTCTCTCTTGACAGGCCAGTCGGAATGCCAAAAATGGAAAAAGTTTACCTACATAACCCTAGCTCAGAAGAAACAATTACATTAGTATCAATATCTGCTACAACATCACATTTTCATGCATCATTCTTTCAGAATAGGGTAAGTTATTCTGCTTTCTCAAAATGAGGTTTTCCATCCCCCTACCCACCCCAAATGGGAGCTTGATTTCCCTCCCTTCTTCAAACGAGCTACTTATTGCAATAAATATACCTAAAAGTATTAAGACACTGCAGTTCTTGATCTCATGTCAGTTACCCAAAAATTTGAACTTATCACAGAAACACACACAAACCCTACTAGAAGAGAAGGAACGAAATACTGCATAGGAGTTCTGACTATGTTGGAAGCGTGTAGTGTAACTGATGGTTTAACAGCAGATCTCCATTGTGGCTGAAGTGACTAAGTGTACATTGCCTCATAGCACTTACAGGAGCAGGCTGTTCTTACATTTTTTTCTGAAAATTGTAAGTCTGGTGAAGTGGTGTTAGTGTGAAGCAGTTGCTCTGATACACTTATAACTACCACGGTCATGTTACAGGAATTTGCAAGTTAAAAAGCACGGTGTCAGCAGGGTTAATTCTTAACCACATTACTGTCAGATACAGTCGTCCGGTTTCAGTTTTGTCTGCAGAGCCTGTGGCTTAGCAGGGGCCATGTAAACACTAAAAACTTCAAAACACCTGTCCATAAGGAACCTTTCTCACGGAGGTCTTGTAGTAATTACCTTTCTCCAATGTTCTGTAAACTGTCAGTCCAAAATATTTCTATGATAAGCTGAACTATAAGTTCAGACTTCAACATAAAAATTTAAATAAAAATGATCCTGCACTAGGTAATAGTTGCAAAATACTGGTATTTTTATTATTTTATTACACATTTTTATTTGTCTAAAAATTCTATTCTTTTTTCCCAAATCTGCAGTAGACTTTCGAACTTCAGTTTTGCATAAGGGACACACAGATATCATAGAATCATAGAACAGTTTGGGTTGGAAGGGTTCTTTTAAAGGTCATCTAGTCCAGCCCCCCTGCAATAAGACATCTTCAACTACATCAGGTTGCTCAGAGCCCCGTCCAACCTGACCTTGAATGTTGCCAGGGATGGGGCATCTACCACCTCTCTGGGCAACCTGGGCCAGCGTTTCACCACCCTCGTTGTCAAAAATGTCTTCCTTATATCTAGTCTGAATCTACCCTCTTTTAGTTTAAAACCATTACCCCTTGTCCTGTTGCAGCAGGCCCTGCTAAAAAGTCTGTCCTCATCTTTCTTAGAAGCCCCCTTTAGGTACTGAAAGGCTGCAAGAAGGGCTCCCTGGAGCCTTCTATTCTCCAGGCTGAACAACCCCAACTCTCTCAGCCTGTCCTCACAGGAGAGGTGTTTCATCCCTCTGATCATTTTTGTGAAGTCAAAAATTTGAGAAGTTAAAAGGCATGGTGTCATAGATCTTCCATAGCATAAAAACTATTGTTCATCTTCTGGGTGGAATGTCTTCAGTAAACAGGTTAGCTTATTCTTCTGATTGCTTGCTTTTATTTTTTCCAGAAAATTCTTCCAGGAGGGAATACGTCCTTTGATGTAGTTTTCCTCGCAAGAGTAGTGGGAAACGTAGAGAATACTTTATTTATTAACACTTCTAATCATGGGATATTCACTTATCAGGTAAGATAACCCTCTCAGAAAAAGTTGTGAAGTGTGCATCAGCCAGAACAGTATCTATTATGGCATGCTTAACCATCCAAGGATATTTGCATCAGAGTTTGGGTTTTTTAATCAGCCCAGTTGAAGAAGTTTCCATCCCTGCTGCTTGTTCTAACACAGAGGTATACCATTGTAAATATCTGTAGGGCAGTACTGTAAGGCAGATCGATTAAATTATGTGGGGTTTAAAATCCTCCCAACAACTTTTTTGGCTGTGTTATTTTAGTGGCTCACTGCTGTGATCTAGCTCATTCTTTAGCTCTGTACTCATCTGATCCAGTGACAAGACAATGTTATTCATTAAACTGGCAAAAAATTACTCACTTGAGATTCAGAAAGAGAAACCAGACACATGAGAGAGTCTGAAAAGTGAGAGAAATCCTCTTGTTGAAAGACTCTTACCATGGCAGTGTTTTGAAAACAAGAAGAAAAATGCTTCCCATATGTTCCATAATGGGTTGATGAAAGGATATTTCACATCTTTTTAACCTTTAGCTGGTTATCTAGCGTTTCAGAGTATCAGAAAAGAAGATGGTACTTTGACTTCCTGTGTTATGTCAGTGTAAGTAAGTAGTAGCTATGAGAAATACCCTTTTAGCTGCAAACTAAACCAGTTTATTTCAGTGATTTAGCATGGTATTGGTTTTAAATGTTGAGTTAGAAGTATACTATAAGATTAATTGAAAAGAGTACTTTGTTGATTACTAAAATTGGCACACACGTTAGGCTCTGCAACAATTGCATACAGCTACTTAAGCTTGTTTTTCTGAACCAGGTGTTTGGCATTGGAGTACCGAACCCCTATCGATTGCGCCCATTTATTGGGGCACGAGTTCCTGTAAATAGCAGTTTTTCTCCTATAATAAATATACATAACCCTCACAGTGAACCTTTGCAGGTAAGCCTAAAAGAAAACCATTAAATGCTCATTTATGTTTATGATATTAAACTGAAGTTTTATTTTGGTACTTCTTAATACTCTGTTTGAACTTGAAAGCTATTTGAAGCCAAGTGTTTCACATTTATATAATTTTTTTCTGTTTAAAAGCAAATCAGTTGTTCTAGAAATTGTAGATCATGCTCACACATCTCCTAATTTGCTAAATTGAGGTTTTACTATGAAATTTCCATTTTTAAAATGGTTATCATTACTGCAAAATAAAGAATTAAACTTAACTGGTAATTAAGAAAAGTACTGAAGAAAACAAAAGTAAAATGGATCTTGTGCTTTTAATCCAGGCGTGCCTCTTAGCTTCCTTCTGCTTGTTCTGCACAGCGTGAGGTGTCCTTAACAATACATAAGGTGTATTCTAGTATGTAACGTTGGCAAGCATTCTTATCTTAAGGCAGGATTGATGTCTGTACCTAACCAAACAAGTAAATTAATATTCCACTGATAAACATGATCTGATTCTGTTAAGTAAATGATCTACAAACTGTGAAATGCTACTGAAAGCACATAAAGTATAGCACTAGCAGATGGCTATATCATCATTAAAAGTGAATTTGTAAGATACTCCAGTGGTCAAATAGTTGCTAACCCATGCCATTGCATGTTAATAATACCTGATAACTAAACCAGCATCCCTTTCAAGTTGAGTGCTAACATTTTCCTGTTATCCACCTCAGGTGGTAGAAATGTATTCCAGTGGAGGTGATCTCCATTTAGAACTTCCAACAGGTCAGCAAGGAGGTACAAGGAAGCTATGGGTGAGTAGTCATGTCTTGCAGCATTCGTTGTACTTGTTTAGGGCGGTTTTATTTTTATATGATTTTAGGTTTTGTTTTGGTTTTTTTACCAACTTTGTTTCTTGTCGTGTAATCATTAAAAATACCCCATAAAAATTGAAACGATAACATGATCTGTTAATTGTATGGTAATAGCAATTGAAGGGAAGGTTTAATTAAAAGAAGCCATCTGTATTGAGCTGTGCTTTTGAAATGAGATGAACAAGATGATTCCCAGCAGAATGAGTTACACCTACCTGAACATTCAGGACAATGTAGTCCTCCTGATGTTGGATCTAACCTACAGGAAAAATATATGTTGGGTTTTTTTTCCTTTTAAAACTGAGAAAGTCCTTCCTGCAAATCGCTATGAGTGTATGCATGGGTTGAAAAAGTGGCTGAATGAAGTTAGGGAAGAAGAATCTGTTAAGAACTACTAGCTAAAACAGTAGTGTGTTTAGCTACAATAAATGCCTAGATCATGAATTGAGAGTGGCTGGAAGCTTCTGGAAAATATTCCTACATGCATGCCCTGCAGGTACTCTTTACTTTTTATGTCTGCTGCTGGAGATGGGGTAGTGGGTTGGATGGACTCGTGGTCTGGCCCATTAAATCTGTTTTGTTTGTGTTCTTCACTTAATGTAGTTTTGAAGTAATACATACCAATATCTTTAAGTGAAATAAATTTTTAGAAGCATCTTGAAGGGAAAGTATTAGATGCATGCTGTATGTTATACTGTTGAAAATGTCCAACTAGATGCAAAACCTATTTTCCTCTTTAATTAGAATCAGTCCTTTTTTTGATGACTGTTTTTTGTCTGGGAGGGACTTTAAAGTCATGGGGCTCCAAAACTTGTCTCTTGCTTAAGTGCATCATTACAGTCACTGACAGTTACATTTGTAATGCGTAAAGCCAGAATATTTCCAAGTGAGCTAAGGAGGAGGATCACAAAACTTAATTCCTGGCTTTTCTGGAGAAAGTCCATGAGAATGGCAGTATCTTAGTTTTAGATAACATAGTTGCAAAGAAGTGAGTGTGATCACAAGCATTTTAAAAAGTGCAGTGGAAGGAGTAAACAGATGCTGAGGGGTTAGATGGAAACATAAAAATGAATTTTAAAAAATGAAGGTAATAATGCTTTGAGACAGTTTTAGTCGAATGGCATTGCTTCTAAAGATAGCCCCTTCCTTGTCAAAAGAACTCAAGGGAAATGTTGAATTCTGTAGCTGTTAGTAGGTATATAACAAACATGTTAGAGCTACAAACAAAAGAATAGAAGATTTTAAAATGTCTGGTTTATTTCTGGTTCTGCTTCTTGAGCATGTAGATTTTCAGAGGTTGCCAGTTAATGATCATATGCATGTGAAAGCTTCCATGTATTGCATGGAAAGGCAGTTAGGTTAATACTAGTCAGCATTAATCCTCTTGTTTTTCATATCAGCCATTGGTATTTCAAAACAATAAGGCAACTAGGAGAAATTAAACCGTGGGAGGAAACACCCAGATATATCATTATATTGGCTATGTCAAGAGCTGTCCTGCAGTTAGAAAAAGCTGCAAAGTAGATGAAATTATAGGAAATATAGTGATGATACTTTGATATATGGGTGTACATCATTGTCTAAAATAGTTTTGGTGCAAAATGTTTGGATGATTGGATGAAGTAGTCTGCATATGCAGGAGTATTTTTGTAATCACTGTTCAAAGTTACTTCAGGTATCTGAGAAACCTTGGTTCCCTGGTTACACATATGGAAGAGTCAAATCACATCCTTTGAAACATTAATGAATGGCTGCATTCTGTTAGGTCTGTGAATAAGTGCAAAAACAGAACTTGAAAGCTGCTTAGTTAGGGACTCACCAAGTAGTAGCAGTTGAAACTAGTTACTTTGATATTCAACAGTTTTCAAATAATACATCTACGGTCATTGTATCATGGAAAATATGGTTTGACCACCATAATGGCTTGGTATACGTTTGTACTACAGAAAACACAAGAGAGATGTATAAGACAATCAGCACCTATAAGGGTTATGTCCTGTCCAGTTTCCTTCATCAAAAACACAAAAGAAGCTGTCAACTGAAACATCAATCGATGCAAGGACATCTCATCAAAAATTCCTACTTTGTGCCATATTTATTTGCGTTTAAAGTGGAAGAAGCTCCAAATTTCAAATCTGTGTTTTCATCTGCTGTAGCGGTTGTTAGAAAGCTGAGACCTTTGTGTTGGGGGGGGGGGGGGGGGGGGAAGGATGAAAAATCCAGTTCCGCAGCAGTTAGTTATGTTAGTAGCAATGTTAGTATTTCAGCTATGGTTCTGAAGCTTGTGCTGCAGTCTTGTGGTACAGTTGTATCCAGGAAATACAGAAAGACTTGTCTTTGAAACCGTGAATGCAGATGGTGAAATAGGCTTGGGACAGAACCTAGAACACATTTTGACTTTTTGCTGTAAATTGCTTGGTGACTAATAAACCTGTAGTTCCACAGCCTTCTGGTTACTTGCAGTTCTGCACTACTTCAGTTTGTGTTTAGCACTGAAACTGTATGCCTTGTGTCTGCTTTGGAGAAAAAACAATTAGAATATGCAAAACCAATGTTTAATGTTACTGCACTGAATAACATTTTTATGAATAGATTTTGGTTTTTGGTAAATGCCTTTTTGCCACAATTTTAATACATAAAACTTAATCAAATGGATATGAAAGTCCTCTAGCATATACCTATTTTTAATCGATGTCATATTAGATGATTACAATTACCCTTACTAAATTTAATGGTAATTTTAATAACATGCAGCCTATCTCTTACTGCTATTGAAGGTTTTTCTTTTAATACAATTATATTCAATGCTTCTAGTGTAATTTTTTTTGGTGTGGCAGCTTTTTTTGTAATTACTGCACTCTTATAGGTGTTTGATTATTTATCAGGAAATACCTCCATATGAAACAAAAGGAGTGATGAGAGCCAGCTTTTCTTCAAGAGAAGCAGATAATCATACAGCCTTCATTAGAATAAAAACAAATGCCTCGGACAACACAGAATTTATTATTCTCCCTGTTGAAGTAGAAGTTACAACAGGTTTGTAGAAAACTGGTTGGTTTTTTGTTGCTTTTTGTGCATTGTTTTTAGTTATTCAGCTTAATTAACTTTTAGTGTACTAAGAAAATGGTAACTTTTCTTTTTTTTTTTCTTTTTCTTTTTTTTTTTTTTTCCTTAAAGCACCAGGAATCTATTCATCAACAGAAATGCTAGATTTTGGTACACTACGAACGCAAGGTAAACAATACTTCAGGTTTCAAAAGTATTTATAAGGAGTAGGGTACGGAGGGGAAAGCACAGTTATCTTTGTACTATTCAGGGTTGCTTGTGGAATGATGCTTTTTAAAAGCTAGAGTTTCAAAAGCAGGATAACAATGTGTTAGGACAGTGCACAAATGTATTCACCTGCAAGTATACTTGAGATGTGTACAAGCGAACAGTAGTTTGCACATCCAGTTTAAGTCTAGTAATAACATCAGTCTTACACAGTCGCACATGGCTTAATCTGAAGACCATTATCAGTTTACTTAAATTTGTGACCTTGTTTTGAAAGATTGCTTTACATCTGTGTAAGTTTTAATAATTTTCAGAGGGAATAGTGAAAATGTGCAAACTTAATAAAATTTGTTACTTATGATCTTTTTTCAAGTGTCACACATTTGTGCCTAACATTTTACATCTTAAATTAATATTATTTAGTGCAATAAAAAAAACCAACATGGCAGAAAGTAGTAAAACTGAAGGTATCTTTTGAAACTGTACTGAAGAAAAACAGTGTATATCTTCTTTCAACTAGAAAAGGTAGCTTCTGAAGTATTTTTCCTTGCAACTTACTTAATATGTAAAAGTTCTAAATTAAAATTAGTTTCTGTTGGATATTGGTGCATCTGGCAAAATCATTCATTCTATGAACAGATTTGTTCATAAACATTCTATGTTTAGCCTGTTCATTTCTTAATGTGTTAGAAATATGAATGGTTAGCTGAAGCATGCAATATCTACTAATACACAAAAATGCTGTTTTTAAGTGTGTCAGGTTCTTGGGACTATCTATGTTGACTGGCTGTACTGTCATGTTAGTCTTAACTTTTTAACACTGAACAACAGTGGATTTATATGAGAAACCAGCTAGTGCAGATGACTTTGCATAAGGTTCTTATGTTAAAATAGCCTAATAGCCAGGTATGTTTTTGTTCTTTAACAGATCTGCCAAAAATTTTAAATCTGCATTTATTAAATTCAGGAACAAAAGATGTGCCAATTACAGTAAGTTTTATTTCCTTTCAATTTGAAACTTTCTACTTCGATTTACTTTCTCTCATAAAAATTGATCATTCACAGGTTCACCATGTAGTGTTCAGAATTAGAAGCTAGCTGATGTGCGACTGAAAATGTAACTTACTAGCAAGACAAATAATCTATATGCATGGTAAAATTCATTTGATTCATAGCCTTTTTTGAACGGCTGCTTCAGCATTTATAGGCTGTGCCTGCAATATCTGAGCCCCTGGAAGCTTTTATACTTGAGAACATTAACTCCTGTTCAGTGAATGAGAGATTAATGCAGAGTCTGTGGGATTCTTTGTCCTCATCACACACTCCATGAGTGTGTATAAAGTGGTTGCCCAGTGTAATCTTTTAAGATGAGCAAAGAGTAGTGTTCAAGAGCAGACTGTAAAATGACCCTTATTTTCTTGAGGTTATCTGCTTTGTAGCTTGAAATAAGGAAAAAGCTGCAAACACTATAGAGCACTTTCCAGTGAGATCACTGCAGCTGCACATAAAGCGCAGCCAGCTTGAGAATTCTAGGTTTTGCATTTCCTATTTTCTATTTTTATTACAGAATTTTGGCTGCAGTCTGGTAGTCTGCCTTTGTTCATTCATACCTTTTTCCTGTGTAATTTTTCTCATTGCCCAGTATTTTTCTCACTTCTTCCTTCTCCCCTTCCTGTCTTCCTTGTTTTCCAGATTTAGTTGTATAGCTAGCTATACCTTGTCCCAGTGCACTTCAAAAAGTGTTGAAAAGAAACCAGAGGAGCCAGAAGAATGACTGAAGGATTGGCAAAGGTTTCTTACTGAGCTCTTGGAGAGCATTTCTGTATTTTTAAAGCTTATAGCTCTAACTATAGGGAATAGTATTTTAATACTAGAGGTCTAACAAAAATGTAAAATAAGATACTGGAAACTGAGTCTAGATGAAGTTAGAGTAGAAACAGGACACATTTTTAGTAGTGAGGATAACTTTCCACTGTGACAGTAGTCTATTGTGATGCTTGCTAAGTTGTTCACTAATAATATTCAAGTTGAGAGAAATTTGCAGTGTAGTGCGAACTGAACTTAATTCATCGAAGTCCTAATGCTTATAGCATTAATCAAATCAGATGATCCTCTAAGGTCTCTCATGGCCTTTTAAGCTATGAACCAGCTTCCATTGGAGAGCTTTTATTTAAAAAAGGCCTATATATAATTTTTCCAATCAGAGGGTTGGAAAATTTATGAAACTATCTTTTCCAGCTATGTCTGCTCTCTTATATCATGTCCATCTTCTTAGATTTGTGAGGTTTTTGGCATGGGGATGTTTTTTTGTGTTTGTGGGATTTTTTTTATAATTTATTTTATTTTTGAAGTGTGTAATATACTTCTTGAGAGCAATGCAAATAACCATGTATTCAAACCATCAGTGTCACTTCTAATATCTGATAATGTACGGTAGTAATTCATACTCCTCCATTAAAAAAAAACCCTGCCTTTTTTTTTTAAGCTATGGTCTTTGGACCATAGAATGTAGACCATAGACTGTGTATGCAAGCAGTAAATTTGGTGGTTTTAAATCTTTTAGGTGTCACTTTTGCAATGACAAAGTTAGCACATCAGTTCAGATACGATGTATTTTTCAGTGTGTCACATATGGCACATCAAGTCAAGTGTTCATTTCATTAAGGCACAGTTTTGTTGTGAAGTTTGTAACCTTTCTAGCGTTTGAAGCACTGTATGAATTTTGCTGCTGTTCCAGTCAAGGAATTTCAAAGTGGTAAGGAACCTGGTGAATAGCTTACTTGTAGGAAAGCTTGAGAAATGGATTTCTGACCCTTTAGAGCTAGGGTTTAAAAGCAGTGAGACAGAGCTCTGTGACAAATTTCATCTTAATGTCAGAAGGAAAGGCCAAGGCTATATTTAGCATATGTTTAAGCTGGGTGCTGGAGGAACTAAATATCTTCAGGTCAATCCGTGTATGAGACCTCTAATACTGTGGCCAGAGTTGTAGTAGTTCTGCCTTTAAGTACTTGGTCATGCTGTGGTCCAGCAAACTGGTTGGGGAGAGTAAGAGCTCTTGCCTTTCTTTTTTGTATTCTAAAACTCTTTATAAAAACTCTTTATAAATAACTCATTTATAAATAACTCTTTATAAAAACTTCCTTAACTATATTTTATGGGGTTTTCTCCATTATTAGGGAGAACCGTGTTTATTTCATGACTGGATGAACTGTTGTCATGCTGCAAAAATTAATCCACGCTGTCAAAAATCAGTTAGATGTAGACTGTTGAACACTTTTTTTATCCCTCTCTAGGATGAAGAATTTGTGTTTACTTAAGGCAGTTTAAGACCATTTGATTGCTAAAAGTGTATGCACACTTTAAAATTTGAGTTCCTGATCATGTGTGATTTGTAAAGAACCAGGAAGTTCAAGAGAGTGCTATATTGAAGCTGAGTTCTATCAGTTTGAAAATAAAAGTGTTTGTATAAGAAAGTATTTACCTCTGTCACAGTTCATATACTTCATAGTAGGTTTTTACTCTTATCAACCTGCAAGAATGAATTTACTTCTGAGTTACGTTTTTATTCTGCACATTTGAGTGCACATATCTCAAAGTTATCAAGGGAAAGTTACCTTAAAGAATTAAAATCTAATAGTTTATTCCATGACTGTTCTGGATGGTACTTTACGGTGAAAATGAACTTTAGTTAGTTAGTTGTGTCCCTCTTTAAACTGAAGGCCAAGTTAAACTGACACAAGTTAAACTGCACCGCGGCAGCTACGACGTAGTTGCCAT